GCTCGGGGGATTCGCTAGCTTCAGGCCGGAGATTCTTGGAATTGCAGGTGGATCAAGAAACATTGCAAATGCTACAGACCTCCAAGGCACATGAACTGTGCGTTTGGCCTTTGGCCAATGACCCAAGTGATGGAAGGGGCCACGCAACCATGATTTGTGCCCCTGGAAGGGTACTTGGGAGCATTCTTGTGCTTTGTGCCTGCAGGCCGCGTGGAGAGACTGGAGGCCTTCTTTCGCAGGGTTTTTGGACACGGTCCCCAGATGGTCCATCGGGTGTCCAAGCCGAAACTGGTGCGTTGAAGAGTTTCTTTGGGTGTGAATAACCATCAAAAATGCTCAGTACCGGGTTCTTAAGGATTCAATGCCATTGGTGAGTCCAACATATCGACCAAGATTGGCCCAAGCCAATGCACACCACAGCATTCCAAGAGAATGAAAGCTCAAAGAGTGTTCCCCATCCTTGTAGTTTCTCCCTTTTGATTCCTCTTCATGGTACGTTTTCGCCTCAGAGCCAAAAGTGTTCCTTGGGCACGGAGGCCCAGGCACATCATTGTGATTCGGGCCATTCGGGGTCCGGTTCCTCCCATTTGCAACGACGCGACAGGTTCAAAGTGCCAACAGTGACAGCAGTAGCATTTGACGTGTCCCAGCCTCAGGCGTTCGAAACAATGGCACCAGAAAGCGATGGATCGAACGAGTCGGTTTTAATGCACGGAAGCGGTTTTTCACCCGGTGCCTGCGGAGAGGCAGCCTATCCGAGTGTGGCTGTGAAATGGCTGTGAGATGTTTGACTTGTTTTGCCATTGCATTGCTTGGTGGCTAGATAGAAAGCATACTACCACTCCATGGCTTTGTCCCTGCCTATAACTCCAGAGTAATTGAGGGTGTCAATCAGACCAACATTCCCAGCTTGCCTAAGTTGGGGTCGTAGCTTTTCGCCATGTCCTGAGGCACACGCTGAATCACGCGCTGCAAGCGCGTTGCGCATTAGTATTGAATGGGTAAGGAAACCCGACCAAGTCTTGTTTGTTTCAACAGTAGCTTTCCAACGGGGTGAGTATGATTGAAATTGGACTGGCAGGTTCCACCGCGTAAATATGCAAGAACTGTGTACTGTAACTATGTGTGAAGTAACAGTTTGAATAGAATGGAAACTGCGGGAAGCAATACAGTTTCCCTGTGTTTGCAAACGACCCATGCAGCTTACACAGCATTCAAACTTTTGTGAATGAGTCATATCATTGTATTCTATGAGCTAGACTTGGAAACCAGCCAGAATGATCACAATGAATACCCGTTGTGGTATCAAATCCTTGTTGGGTTTCCTTTGCACATCGCAAAGCCTAGTGGCTTTCAGCCAAAGAATGGGCAAGGGAGCTGCTTGGGAATTCTGCGGGTGTGAGGTTCTGAATGGAGCACAAACTCCGTGGCGTTGTACATTACTCTGGCTGCCCATTGACAGGTTGAGAAAGTTTGGAGGTCCTGCAGTCCTGCAACCAATCCTTTTCAGAGCAATATGTTCCTATTTGTTTGCGCTTCTGTTTGCTTCTGTAAATACGAAGGCCGCAAGTTGCGAGGCAATTGCTAGTACACAAGGAAGTCCTTGTGAACAATTCTGCAAAGTCCTGGGGAAAGCCGTCGTCACCCCACTCTTTTAAATTGCTGTCTTTTTCTGTGACCTGTCAGATGTCGTGCAGCGCACGCCGCCGCTCGTCGGGCCGCATGAAAGGTGTGTGGCACAAAATGGCGGCCTGGACTGACTCCATGCGAACTGCGAACCTACTGGTAGATATATATATATATAGTCATATTTGGTAGGTAGTAGGTTGTCATAGAGTTACAGTTCGGATTTGTTGGCACCAGTACCGTTGCTGTGGTCTTTGGCCTTTGCACCAACCAAACTATGAAGTCTGTGTTGCCCTGACATGGCATCAAGCAACCCATGTTTGGAGTGCCAGGTGTGGTTCATGACCATCCAACAGACTTGAGCGCCTTCCTCATTGAGCACAAGGCGTTTTACTCGGGACATGCAAGTCCTTGCAAAGCCCAGTTGTTGGGGGAAAAGGGAACGATCTTGGAACCAAGCTGTGAAGATCCTCTCACCGCCCAGATCCTCTCACCGCCCTCGATCTTTCATCGCAGGTGGATCCCTCCGAATTGGGCGCCTTCATGGGTGAGGCCATTCAGAGAGGGAGCGGATTTGGTCTCGTAAGCCAGGGGCCTGAAGCAAAAAAAGCTGCTTGCTTCTCTGGGGAAAACCATGTGAAAAACACACACTAATTAGATGTTTGATTATGGCTCATATGCAGGTTAGATACAAAAAAGGGGATGCACCGGAGTACCAGAGCTGTCCTACATGAGTCACAGAGAGACGAGCACTTCTGGTACTCAGTGTACTTGTCATTCTCTTGGTGACAAACCAAGTGATCGTTCTTAATATTCACAGAGCTAGGGCATTTAGACCTCAAGAGACGCCGCGACGTCACCAGGACTTCTCCTTGGCGCAAACGCTTCGCTTGGCCTTTGTCCATACCATGGCCGGGCTCCAAGACGTCCGGCCGAGCCAAGAAGTCGTCGTGACGTCCTCGGCGAAGCGACGAGAACGCTGGTGTCAGCCTCCTAGCCATGTCCATTGAGTCGGCGGTGAAGTGTGCAAGGCCGTTTGCTGATGTTAGATCACAGTTGCGAAAGATCGAGGGGTGAAGTAAGATGAATTGCGTGTTTTCATGTGTTTTGTTTGGGCACTTCGCTTTGCGGAGTCACCGCATTGCTCTTGATGGCATGGTCGGTCATGAGCTCTCGACGGCTCCACGGACCGAGGATTTGGCCGGTACGGGTGTGGTGGGCGCTTTGCGGAAAGCCAGATGCTGAGGAAAGGGGACCGGCGGGAAGTACAGCGACCCAAGCTGAAAAAGGGGACCATAGCTGGTAATTAAAGCACATGTTCCCAAACGCAAACAGGTAGTGTCCACATGTTTCCACTTCCTTTAAGCGTTGATATTTTTCAGGGGGAATCTGACAGGAAGAACTCCCACAGCTGCCTGCAGTTGATTTTTCCTCACGGGAATCTCCCTCTCGGAGTTATTGAAGTACAATGCCCGGCAATTTCCATGAATTAGCCGCAATCAGCTGAGTGTCCCCGGAGTCGTGGGTAGAGACCTTGGCCGGCCTGCTTAGCCTGCTTCCAAACAAAGATACCAGGTTCGAGACCTAAGTTACAGATTAGCTTCTTTTATTGGTGCAACGTTCTATTTTAGAATATTTTATGTAAAGAATGATGTATATGTCGTCCTTCCGAGCCCCTCTTTCCCTTCCTTGAATCCTTGCTGAGGTCTTCAGCTACATGCGACCCCCACGGGAGCTGCACAAGATCGTGCGCCGCCTCAGAATGCCAACGCCGAGTGATGCCGAGTGCTACCCTGCCAACTGCTCATTCTGAGGGTGTTGACTCAGGTCGATCCAAAAACGGTGACTTGGAACATGTTTGGAAGCTGGTGTTAAACAATCGATGTTTCTATGCATGTGCGTGCATGTCGAATCGCAGGGGGGTTGAGGGATTTTTGGGGGTCCCACTGGCCGCGCATGTTGGCATCGTAGGGGGTCTCCATGTTCCCTGCCTAGTGTTCCTTGATGTGAATGCTGAATTGAGCATCATTCAAGACACACGAGAGTGCTCCATGGTGCTCCAGTGCCTTGATTCACGAGATTTCCCAGGTTTCGTTCATAGGTTGGAGGCCATCGCTATTAGTTAGGCCATCGCTACTAGGTTGGAGGCCATCGCTATTAGGTTGGAGGCCATCCGTTAGGTTGGAGGCCATCGCTATTAGGGTCTTTACAGTCTTTTTCTTAAAGCCATGCGAACTCCCAATGCACCAGGTCCTTCCCTTTCCATCCCATCGACTCCCCGAGGATCGCATCACAACTGCTGCAGCCCATCTGTGGAGCTCGCACCGTTTTGGGTTCGATCGAACGGTGGAACGGTGCGATATTGGTGGTGCAAATGGTGATGACTTTAGCACATTGGTGTGTAATCCTTTTAGGCACATCCATTATAGACTATTCAGATGTGGGGCTTGAGATATTTATTCAGGCTTTCGGCTCGAAGAGCTCGAGTTTTGAGTGGGGACCTGTTGGCTTTCAGTTGAAAAGTATGTTTTGTTTGATGTACTGTATGCTCCTGGAAATGACATGGGCCTGGTATTGAAGCAGGAGAAATCATCGAGTCTCCTCCCGTGTGAATAACGGGGTATGGTATGCCGGAAACCGCTGCCAAGTTGTCCCTTGTATTCGGGCGACTGGTTCTATTTGCAGGGATGGATGCCGCAAATGATTTCAATTGATCCAAGACAAGAAGAATCGAGCTAGTTCAAAGATATTCATAGGGAGTCCACAGCTGGATTGCTTCGCGAAGCATCGAAGCTTCTTTTTGGAGAACCGTGACAGCGTCGGAACACCTGTGACAGGTGGTGGCGGACTCATGACCTGGAGGATTCGCAGCCATACATCTCGAGTGCTGAGGCGGGCGGTTTTAGAAGCCGGAAAAGCGCGGAGAAGGGAGAGCAAAGAAGAGCAAAAGTGTTCCTGACTAAAAGATCAATGTTTCAGTATAGTGGACCACGGAATCCAAAAACACCTGAGGATTGAGTGACACACTTACTGTAGTAAGGTGAAGAATGACAACAACATGATTTACCAGCAAGGCCTGCCTGTCTTGGGCGTTTTTCTAAGAGGCTAACATGAGGAAAACGAGTCCACGGCGTGGACCATCACGGCGTGGACCTGTGGCTTCATGCGACAGCAGCTGTCTCCTGCTTCGCACCTCTTCGCACCTCTTCCGACACCCCCAACGAACACCCATTTCGCACACCGAAACGAGCCACCGTGAACAGGCCCACAGAACAGCCCACGTTGCGAACGGGCTCCCTCGGCTCCCGGTGCTTCTTCATGTCTCAGGAAGATGAAGCATTGGAGTGGGCCCTCTTCACTGAGGCCTGCGGGCGGAGAACAGAGTGGGCGGATAACAGGTGGTTTGAAGGGGCGTGGTTTTAGGATGTTGAAGGATGGCATCAAGCGAAAGGCAGGCAGCTCGTGCGATTGCTCATCAGTTTGTACTTCCATGCAAGTTCTTCTGCGACTTGCTTTGAAGATCATGTTGACGTAGACCAAGGGACTAGCAATTGTGCCATCGCAAGTGTTTGCCTTCAAACTGTTGCGTTTGAATTACTGTAAACGCACGAAAAACAGCTGTTTTTTGTTGCTGTGGTCTGGTCATGTTCGAGGACCGCCTTTTGGTCGTTCGCTGATCCTGCAGCGTTACAGCAGTCAAGAGACACCATGGCGCCTTTCGGGGCGTTTCGCCCTTTGGTTTTCCTTGCAGGTCTGGCAGAGCTCTTAGCTTTTCTTTAAGGCTGTTCTTGGACCAAGCTTGCACGTTTTGTTTCCTCCTTTCGCCCACGTTTGCTTCCTTGCAGTGCAGTTTCGATCGTATTTGGCTGTTGCGGCTGACGCAGCTGAAGGGAGGCTATTACAGTAAAACATAGTGAGCCTCTCAGAAGAGAGGGCAAGTATTCAATCTCGATTGTCAAGGAATGTGCATCCAGTGGTTTCCAGTTAGGAATCTATATTATAGCAGTGTTGCTCAAGCTCCAAGAATGTCCAAGATGATGCAGGTATTTGCTCCTAGATCGACAAAAATCCCAAATAGTCAAGTGGTAGGGAATAGTAAAAAGTTTCAAAAAGTATTCTTACACTCTCAATAGTTTATGGAGTCGGAAAAATAGACAGCTACATCGGGCTTGTTGATTGATTTAGTTTTCTATCGTTCAGTTATTGCTTCACCTCTTCTGATAATTTGCTTCACCTGTTCTGAGGTGTTGCTTGATCCCTGGAACTCTGACCTCAAAGCCGTATTCAAGAACCCTGTTTAAACTCATTGAAGTCATTACTCCAATCAGTTTTTCAAGGGGAGTACACAAGGCCTAGGCCCTAGGCAAGTGAATTGTACATATTGCTTAGGGGGTCGGAAATGATCATGTGCACACTTGGAGCCCTTGACGGAAAAAGTCATCAGCATTGTGTTCTATTGTTCCACGACGATGACGACGACCACAACAACAACTGCTGCTGCTACTACTACTACTGCTGCTACTACTGCTACTCCTCCTCCATCCTCCTACTGCTACTGCGAACTACCAACACGAAACCACTAACTACCAAAACCTAACTCCTAACTCCTGCTGCTACTGCTGCTGCTACAAGTACTACTACTTCTATGTCTACCTCGACGACGACGAGGACGAGGATAGTTGCTTTTGCTCACACTTCCTCAACTGTTTGGTAGGGAGGGGGCTGGCAGGGCTTACTCTTTAAGACCCAACATTGCAGAAGCCACCCCCAACCCTCCGACCTGAGGTCTCTTGCTTGGCGCAAGATGAGACCTGCGACGCCGCCACGGGCAAGTGCAGCTCCGGCCCCGGCGAGCCACACGGAGGAGCCTTGGTGGCTGCTTGGCCCATGCACCGGGGACGGGCAGAGAGCTGAGACAGTGACGCAGAGAGCACCATGGTCTTACCAGCCAATGAAGCTCCTTCCGCATGAGAGCATCGCTGAGGCACGGTTTAGAGGTTTAGAACTCGTTTCAGGGTTTAGAACGAGAGACACGGTGCAGATCGCGGGCCAATCTTGTTTGATCCTACTCCAATCACTTGTTGTTCCCAAAAACTCATGAGTCTTGCATTATCTTGCTTTCAGTCAAAGATCAATAAGCAACTCTCCAGAAATCAGGAAACTGCGGGAAACCCACCCGCGCCCCGCACAAAAAAATTGTATGCCAAAAACCGTGGACTCCTCCAACCTCAACCCAAGACCTCACCTGCCCAATCGGCGCCGTCCATGGCGCCGTTTCACCCGAGGATTTGATGGTGGCGGACGCCACGTCCGCCTCCGCAGCCACGGCCACGCTGGAGCTCTCGCAGCGCCAGGCGCGATGAGAGAGCCTCGTAGAGCCACGTGCTTGCAAGGTCTGGGGAGGGGGGGGTGACTGAGGTGGCTGGATGGAAGAAAGCAAGAAGTTGCTAAAGAATCACTGATTGGAGGATTGCCTGAAGGAGGCAAGTGGCCTCAGAGTACACCTTCATCATGATTCTCTAGATATGATAATAGCCATTCTTGCACACGAGGACGGATTGAAGGGTCAATTGAAGGTGTCGCACCACAGCCACATGGAATGAGTACTTCTCTTTTCAGGCAGTGGATTTTCACATTCACAGCCAGGAGCTGTCAGCTATCGTCTAGACCGTCTAGCGAACTGTTCACCTACAGCGGTCGGCGGTTGCGACCTCCGACCATCACTGGGACACATCCGCCAGGCTTGTGATGTGTCCCTGCTGATCAACGGAGGATTCTCGGCGCGAGAGACGTGATGGCCGGCGTGAACGGCCGGTGTTTTCTGGCCTGACGTGTGAGAAATGGGGACCGGAGCAAGCAATCGACATTGGTTGGTTGGTTGGTTGGTAGCATCATAAAACATCCAAGGCCATGCAGTTCTTTGTTTTCTGTTTTTTGCTTTCAGTGCCGATGGGTCAGCGGGCAATCTTCATACATCACTGCAGCGCAGATGAGCATTGTGGGAGCAAAAGGCAGTTGAGGCCCATATACTCTCCACGACTGCGAGCAGTGCCAGTGCCAGATACAAACCTTTAAAGAATAGGGAATAGGTCTAGCAAGAGATTTGAGTGTACTAGTAGGGATCACAACCTACAACAACTCTTTTTGTGGCTGTATGTATTTCTCTATCAACTGGATTTGACCCATATTTGACACTCAGAATCCCGACAGCTCCATGTCGGAATTTTCGCCGAGCGCATGTAGCGCATGCGTCAACGGCATCGGCCCAAGACGATCAAGCGCCCTTGTCTACCCGAAAAGCAAAGCTGGCAACCGAAAAGCAGGTCAAGTTCAAAGTTTTTTCGGCACTGAACCCTTCCAAGTTCGCACTCGTTACATGGTAGAATGGTAGACCCCAGTGGATTTCCAGATCAGAGGCCTGGAGGAAGCGCCCTGGGAAACGCCGCCCCTCGCCCTGCTTTGGACGTGCCGGGGCCAAGGATTCTCTCCTTTGAAGGGTTTCATGAAGCAAGCAGACTACGACTCAGTGGTTCCATGGCGGCAGTCTACCGTCATGCCCTGCAGAACCAGAGGGCGGATGATATAACCCAGAGAGGACTTAGTTTAATGCATTTTACTCCTGTGGTCTGGGTACGCACCCTATGGATAGCAATTCCGGCTTGTTGACGAGTTTCTGAGATGGCTAGCTTCCTCCCAACTCAGTTCTGTGAAAGCCTCTGCATGGAGAATTTGTGCACATTTGCGAGACGGATGTATTCTCCCAGAAAAGTATTTTGACCTCTGCGCGAGGTGTCGAACATGCGATTGGCCTCCGGACATTTGTTCGGGCTGTGGCTTAGCATGCAGTCAAGTAGCCGACGGCCTGCGGGCGGGTTGACACCTGCCACGTTTCCGCCGTCTTGTTCGACCATGTTCGACCGTCCGGAGACCGTCCTGAGGTGGTTGAATTAGGATGTACTGTATATTGATCTTGGAACACCTTGGAACACCCCCCGGAAAGCACCATGGCGACTATCGAGTGATTATGGGATCTATTCTACTAGATTACCTGGATGGGAATATGATAATCATAATTTCCACAGAAACATGAAGATAGGTTCAGACTCTATGAGCATCAGCTCCTTTCTTACAAGAAGCTCAGAATTGTGTTGTCAGAGCCTGTTCTGAAATGGGGTTTGAGGATGGTGTCACTGCAAGAATCTGCAAGATGAAACTTTCTGTAAAATCATTGTAAAATCACTTGTGCAAACCTTGCTTTGCACAGTCTTGGCCAGAGTAGGAGTACAAACAGGCTCGCTCCCATCAACCCTCCTCCTGCGGGACTCTCCAGAGATTGTTTGGCTCCAAATCCTCCACACATCCGCATCTTCGCAAAAACAAAAAAACTTTTTGAAGATCGCCCTGTGAGGTGTTGTTGTTGTCGTTGTCGTTGTCGTTGTCGTTGTTGTTGTTGTTGTTGTTGTGGTTGTGGTTGTGGTTGTGATTGTTGTTGGGGTCGAGGTCGAGGTCGAGGTCGTCCTCCTGCTCGTCCTCCTCGTCGTCCTCCCCTCCTCCTCCTCCCTCCTCCTCCTCCTCCTCCTCCTTGTCATCGTCCTCTTCATCGGCGTCGGCGTCGGCGTTGTTTCGTTTGTTTACTAGACTCAGACTTGCATTAAGCTTGCGTTTGCAAGACTGGACTTGAGAACACAATATGACAATAGGACACCAAAATATCCACTGCATCACTCCAGCGGCCCGCTCGGCTCGAGACGAGGCCAGTGGTCCTGGACGTCAGCGATGAGTCGTTGCACCTTGGAGCTGATTACAGATCCACAAAGAGAAAGTCAAAGACGTGCTAGAAGCAGGTGCTTGGCCCAAGGAGTTGTGTATTTGACCTTCAATCTAGAGATGATTGACCTTCAGGAAAGGCAAGAAGGTGCTGCTGACCTACAAGGGAAGCAAGCTCGCAGATGCTTGGCGAAGAATGCACCCATGATGTCTCCCGGGAGACGGCAGGATGGCTTGTCAGGTGCGGAGGGTGTTGGTTAGTCATTGGCTGGTCCTTGTTTTTCTATCAGGTAGAAACGGGAAATCATGGCTTGCCCCTCCCCAAACTTGGAGACCTAAGAGGAGCTGCCCGGCTGAGACCAATGTCCCGGAGGTTCGGACGGACGTTCGACGAAGAATTCGTCCGAGAACGGATGACCGGAAAACCGTCCAGGTCTTAGAGGCTGAGGAAGTGTGGAAACCTGACAAGGTGCCTTGGCAGCTGCATGTGGCGAGATGTTTTTCTTTTTCAAGAGCATTCTTGCTACTAGTAGCAAGGGCATCGCTAGTAGTAACAGGTGCATCGCTACGAACGTAGCAAGAAGCTAGTAGTAACACTTTGATGAAACATGCCATTCCAGCATGAGGTCGTTGACGCGAAGACGGCACGGGTTCAATGAGATGTTTTGAGAATGTAGATTGATTTGTACCCTTGTCAAGATGGGTGAGTAGCATGCACGATAACAAGGCTGAACAGAACAGTCAAACAAGAGAGACATGTGCATCAAGCAGTGACTGTTCCCAAAGCTTATGCATGCGGGTTTCGACATGGTTCCCTTCAGGTTCAACTTCCTGCGGACTTTTGCCATCTCAACTAAGGTGAAGGAAGCCAAGGCCAGGGATGCGAGGTCGTGCGAGGTCTGCCGAGGTGGAAGCTTGAGCTCTCATTGGGTCCTCAATGAGCTTTCCACCCCATCTTGACACTTGACAAAACATGTGCTTTGATGTATCAAATGCCAACCTCCGTGACGGTCACTCCCGAGATTTCCGGACAGACTCACCAGGCTAGCTATGGCACCACCTCCACCGAGCACCCCTCAGTGGCCGAGCTTTTTGCGGACTTGGGAAAGTTTTACGTGGGAGGTGGCTGGGCTTGGAAATAGGTGTGTTGGGATTGAGTGACAGAAGCTCCGATCGTTGATGAGCGAGATCAAGGGATAGAGGGCTGAGATGCGTCAGACGGGTTCTGTTTGGGGTGGGACATCAATTTCCGTCATGGAGTGGTTCAAGGCGTGTGACTCAGCCGCAAACATTCTTCGAGATGTTTGGCAAAGTCCGTAGCTCTGTTGTTGCAATCCTGCCATTTCGAGCATTTTTGGTTGGCCCCCTGTGAGCTGGTGTTTATTTCGTCGGGAGGGAACCAGGAGCGTTTTGTGTCAGCCAAGAAGTCGCGGCTGAGACGGAGGGAGGGAGGGAGGGAGCGATCTTGCCCAGACCAGCCCTCCTCCGGTCAGAGCTCGCCTGCCTTCCAGCTGCGGAGGTCAGTTGCATGGCCTCATGAAAGGCTTCGATGTGGTTTGGGGCAAGGGCTTCAACACGCCTGCGCAGGCGCACATCGAGTCCGGCGACCGGAGACCGCGAAGCACCGAACGAAACGAAGAGTAGTTCCAATGCAGCCAGGAAGTTTAGGAGATGACCCAGTCAAGCGTACAAAGACCACCGCGTAGCTCAGGGCTGTTCAGGTTTACAAAATACACTGCATCGCGGACTGAGTCATTGCATACACCGTAGGTTGCAACAGGCGACCCCTAGAAGAGCTATGAGACCGTAGATCCTTTGCCGGGTTGTGATTTCTTGATCATACCGCTCTTCAGTCTGAGAGGAAACAATTTCAGACCCAGCATCGCGCTTTTGTGGCATTCAGAGTCCAACTCCCATAGATGACGTACATGAGCCGCACTCCAATGTATCACAGGTAGTACCAGGTCCATCTAGGTGGGTAGGTGACTGATCAAGCAGGAAAGCCTTGCGCACAGGTGCGCGCTGCATTGCCTGCAGGGAAGCAAGTGGTAGCCTTCCAAAACCGAAATCCGGTGCACAAAGCTCATTTCGAGCTCTTGGTCACTTGTCAAAAGCAGAGAAGCCAAACGGGGATTCAAGCTTGATTTAAGAATTTAAGATTCAATATATGGCTGCAAAAGGGTGTTCTTCACATCTTGAGTTTGGAGCCAACGTAATTGCAACTAGTTGCACTTGCCTTTGGATTGAAGATTGAATATTTAAGGCTACTGAAGTCTAGATTCTTGAATCCAGAAGCAGTTGCAACAATTAACCTTGAAGGTATTAAAGTTGTTGAAGCTCCTGATTGGTGTAGACATAATAAGTTGCCAAAGGAGACTTGACTGGACTAGTCTTTCATGATCAAATGGGACAGAATGTACTAGTTGCTACTGGGAGATCAGGTTATTTGAGTCACATGAATAATCAAATTGGTTTTCCCTAGGGTTTTCTGGTTTGCTGGATACAAGTGCGAAAGAAGCGCTGCGACAAGTATGACGGTTACCAAATTGGATGTGCCTGACATATTTTAAGAAAGGCGCACAACAGGCAAGATATGCACGTTTGTAAAGACTATCTCACAATGTCATGAGTCATACCTGGTCCCTTCATGCTAAAGCAAGCACTATCCAAAGCTGCCATGGAGCCTGAGTGATTTGACACCACTTTTGAATGAGCTGGGTCACTAGATGTCGAGTTTCTGTTTATTGTGTGTGTAAGGTAGCTTAGTTATGCAACTTTATCTCATACCCCTTGCAAGTTCTTTCCGACTTATATCTACGGGTGTATATCGTTGTTTTGAGAGTCATTTAATACTCAAGCAAGGTTGCACCAGGAAATAGAGCAGGAATGCTAGATTCCATACAAAGTTGGAGTATTCAATAAGTAAAAAAAGCCAATTTCAGGGAGAAAGGCTGTGAAACTCTGACAATCTATCAATAATTCAAAAATAATCTAATCTTAGTTTGAGGCAGTAAGCCTGCCTCGAACCTTGCATTCTCTAGAAGGCATTACACCTTCAGCTGAGATCTCTTTTTATACCTCTCAAAGGTCCTGTTGTATTGTACTTATAGACACTAAGGCTGCTGAAATTCCCACACAATTCAATGATGTAGTCATTGTTGCATTGACACATGCAAATTTATATATAATTGAAAGAGGTATTGAATCATTGAAGCTGGCATATTGCTATCTTGTGTATTGAGAATGGTCAAGTCAAAAGGTTGCATTATACATGCGATAAAGTTCAGATTGTTCAGCTGTCATCTCATATGGATGGTAATGAACAACATTTGAACTTATTTCAATGCACACTATAATCCAGTATTTTGTCTAGTAGATGAAAAAGGACACCAACAGATATAAGGAAGACATACCGGAACTGCTCCAACTTTTTTTAGTTACCTGCAGTGCACAAAAGAATTGTGGTATTGATGTAGAAGTTGATGTTACATGTTCACGTTTAGAATGCAATCTGGATCAAAACCCAAAGTTGTTTGAAGAAGAACACTTGCAAAAAAAGATGTGGTGGAGCAATTCAAGAAATTGTTTGAGCCTGTGATAGATTTTGAACTCCTGCAACACGCCAAGGGGTATGGCGGGCATGTGTATCTCTATACTGTATACATACTGTATATATGCGGGCAAAGTTTGTTGGATGAAAACACCGGAGGCGAACTTTGTGCTTTGCATGAGTTGGCTTTTCACAGGGTCGAGTTGCAATGGATACAATCAGACCTCAGGGTGACAATAAGTTGTTTGGTTTGCATCAACACAGGGTTTGGAGTTTGAGTTACTGTAATATTCAAGTCACACTGAGTGCCATTGGTCGGTGCTACATTGCAAATGCTATGGACTTTATGGTGGGAAGACGCTCTTGTGGTCGCTGTTGCCCGGAGATGAGCACCCCAAACTGGTTGCTGTACTGGCTGTGAGAGTGTTTTCAAGTATATAAAAGGAGAATTGCTCCAAAACTTGGGTGGCTTCTAACAAAAAGAAATGATCCCAAGCTGTAGAACTTGGTCCTTCATCCTCCCATCCAGCACCGTCTGGTCCCTCTTCATCCCTCCATCCCAGCCCGAATACGGCGGGAATTTCAGAACCTCCCTATCAGCCTGAGGTTCATGCCAACAAGGATGTACAGAACTCCATCATTTTGGTCCATCCCACCTGCGGCCCCACGCAGCCGGGTGACATTGATGGGCCCACCAGAGTCTCGGGCCTTCGGATGATGGAGAAGAGGGCGGATGAGGGCGGTTGGGGCCAGTCTGTAGATATTCTGGGTGGCACTGCCAGGTCACAAATGAACTGTCAATGTTCGATATGGTGACTTCAGTCAATGGTTTTGGGCAATAGAAGTCATCAATCCGGGCACACAAACCCAGGACCCGGGACCCGGAAATGGGACCCGGGACCCGCATCTCAGCAGAAACTCTGAGTATGGTAGTTCACAGGGTTTCTGGCCTATTGGGTCTTCCGATGTCATAGTTGATCCAACGTCTTGAACACACGGAGTGCCCCCACAGCTACGGAAAACGATCGCTCGTCAGTTCTCTTTCGCTTCGGTTGGGCACCGATGCGGCTTCGCGCGATGCGGTGTTGATGGAGCGTCTCGCAGAGGGGTCCGTAAACTCCACGAGAAGGAAACTGTGCAGTACCCTTTGCTGCGAATACCCACACAGTAAGGCGTTTGCCAGGAGAGAGACATGGGGTGAAACCACCACCCCTAATCCACTAGCAAAGCACCCTGGTCGATGCATCTGGCACGCCAGGGGAAGCAGTCCTTGAAGCAGTCCATGAACAACCAAAGAGCATCTCTGCAGGCAAGCTTTGCATTCGATGTGTCACCAAGTACTGTGTATCACTTGACATGCAAGTCATAGGAATCTTAATGAATGTAGCCATCACATGATCCAGTCATTGACGTTTCACTTCACCGGACATGTTTGGCTCAAGATTGTGGGAAAAAGGGGCGGCTGCTGTGTTCTATTGGTTATCAGCCGTATCGCTTTGCGATCGGTTGTTGGCCGTCGTTGCAGCCATCGCATCTTCCTCTGGTTCACGTCGTCCGACTGAACCCGCTGGTCCGCCCCCGCCTGAAGGGGGTTATTCCGATCCGGAGCATCCCGAGTACGAGGAGCTCCACAAGCTTCTGAGGTTCCCTCGCTCGGGAAAGAGCGGCAGAGCACAGAAGAGGGCGTTCATTCGCCAGGGCGTGGCTGAGGGGCATTTTGCGTTGACACATCCGCATTTGCTGAACGGTGTTACGTCTTTTAACTTTTGCGCACAGAGTCGGGTGACGATTGTTGAGGAGGTTCTTCAAACGTACAGAGCTCGATTCGAGGAGGCGCATAGGTTAGCTGCTTCGGCACTGCCACCTAGGCCTGAGCCCGCTGTTCCGGTACCGCCTGCTGTGATTGGCCTTACGCCAAAGGCATTTGCAAAGGCACCGCCGCGGAGGCCAGAGCCAGTTCAAGTCTCGATTGTTCTGCCGGACACGGTACATTTCCTTACCTTTGAGGCAGCGGAGAGTCGCTATACTCGTTGGGAGTCACAGGAAGTGCATTTGGGAGCAGTTGCAGACATTGGCCAGGTTAAGGTCCTTTTTGTTGATCACCATCAGGTTCTTGACAGGGATCACAGCGATACTTGCAGACAGACAGGTCGCGTGGGAGTTGAGAACATTGAGGCGGTCAAGAAGTTCAGACAGTTTGCATTGGATCACGAGCGTATTCCATTTGTTTTCGTTCTTTCTTTCATTGGGAGTTCGGGGCGCTATCAAGCGTGCAAGGACATTTGGAGCAACAGCGAAGGGATTCATCACTTGTTTGACGGGATCATTTGTACGTTCGAGCCGGAAGGTCCGACAGGGAAGGCTGCAGTTATCTCGAGATTTGCCGAACGGTTGGGGGATCACTTGTCTTGTTGTTTGATCGACGACAACGCTGATATCCTAGCTGAGTTGGAAGCCACTTTGGCCACCGACAGGGCAACAGGGATTCACATTAAGCTTTCACGGAAGAGGAGCTTGAACAGCGGATCTGCGTATCCATACGCCAATTGGTTGAGCGACGGCTGGACGAAGGAGGCAGTTGAGAATTTCATTGCAGCCGAGTAGACGTCGTTTGATCTTTGAAAAGAAGCGATGGAGGGATCAGGAGGAAGTGCGCATGGTTCACCGGAGAGTGAACAGATTGTCATGTTTGGGGAAGCCATTGCAACTCCTATCCAAGATACGAGTTTGTCATCCCTGACAGAAACATCTCACTCATCGATGGTTCAAAGTAATCAAGGAAACCCAACAGCAAGGACGGATGTTGAATACCAACAACCGACCATCGGTCATATTGATGCAAGACAGATTGTGTTCGAAAGCAACCAGTCGTCTCATTTCACAGATGCCAGATCAGTCAATCTTTTGGATTTGAACCCTCTGGTAGTAGCTCAGGCTCACCAGGTCGTGTCCGAAGTGCAGGGTCAAGCCATTCAATACGCCTCTGAAGTTGAAGCCAATGCTAGGAACCAGACTGCTCAGTATGTCCAAGCAATGGAGAGCCAGTTTAGGAACCAAGCCCTTCAGCAGATCCAGGGTATTGAATCTAATGCTCAAGCCCAAATCCAGAGTCAAGTTCAATCCATTGAAAACCAAGCCAGGTCTCAAATCCAGGCGGTAGAATCCACTGCCAGGAGCATGGTTCAGCAGTCTCAAGAAGAAGCCCATGAACTGGTCCGTCAGACCCAAGGTCAAGCTACCCGTTTGATGAACCAGTCTCATCAAGAGGTTGCTGATTACCAGAACCAGATCGAGCAATTGAAGGCTTTAGTGATTGATCGCACAAACCAGGTGGTTGAAGTGACCGGTGCATTGAACCAAAGGGAGAAAGCACTAGAGTCCACCACTAGGCAAATGAATGAAATGAGGGGTCAAATGGAAGCAATGATGAGGAGGATCAAGGATCAAGATGAAAGGTTGCAGTCCCTTGCAAAGAGTGGAACTCCAGGGGCACCAAGCACCATCCATCCTTGCAGTCCGCCGCCAAAGGCAACCTCGTTCGTTGATAGGAAACCTAAAAGTGTTGGTCAGCCGAGTCCATCAATGAAAGTTCATGGAATGGGTGAATTGGTTCCGGTGGTACATAGTATTGCAACTCCCAAATCCTACCATCCTGGCACGGTCGCATTCCAGGGTCAACCAATGCATGAGTCGCGGGTCGCGTTGCCTTCGTTTGCATTGACGCCCATTGCCACAGGAACCAATGGTGAAGAGCTGCATTTGGCACCTTCACCAACTCAGTCCGCTTGTGCAGGAGAGATACCAAAGGCTAATCCAATGTTGCCTCCCGCTGCCTTGCTAAACGATCAGATCGGACTTCAAATCCAAAGTGACCAAAACACTGCTTTGCAAATGCAAGTGCATCAGTTGACCATTCAAATGCAGCAATTGATTGGTGGATTGACGGCAAACCCTGTGCAATCGGGCAATCAGCCATCATCGAACCGATCAAGAGACCGCCGCAAAGTCCCCGGATCGCCGCCAGGAAGTGGTTCTTCAAAGGGTTCAAACAGAAACCCTGGAGGGGGGCGGAGACTCACCACCAAAATCCCCAAGTGGAGATGGTTCATCAAGCGATTCGGAGGACCCCTACAAACGAGAGAAACGACTAATGCGTATCAAACAGTATGACTATCTAAAGATTCCTGCTTTGCCTCAAGACGCAGCAAAATGCCGGAGTTTCCGAAACGCAGTGTTCAGTGGGGTTTGCAAGTTTGCCAAGAATGATGAAAGCGTCGTGTTCCGCTGGATCAATCGTTGTAACATCTCGGAAGATGGAAAAGAGTTCAACAATGCAAAGGACTTTCCCATCTTGGATCGGATCCTAGGCGCCAAATTGCTAGAAGCAGCAAAAGGCACAAAATTCGCCTTGGAGTTTCAGACCCACCAAGAGAGATGTCAGACACATGATCAGCAACCAAAAGGTCGCAAGTTGTTGTGGTTGATCTTCCAAAAGTTTCGACTCGATCGCGACCGCGGAACGGCACTTAGTCAGCACCACCTTTTGTCCTTGAAGATGAATGGTAGTGACATCAAGGCACTTGAAGACTTTCGACAGCGATATGACTTTTGCGTAGGCGCTCTTGAACCGAGTGAGATGCCAGCTGAAACGTCGCTGAGGTCGTTGTTGTTTGAAAGCCTCAAGAATCACCCCAAAATGGCACTCGCAATTGACAAGTTTCGGGAAGCAAACACTGGTAGCTACAAGCGAACCAGCCGTTGGTTGTATAGCAAGATGTGTGAAGCCATTGAGATATCCCAAATGGATTTGAACACAACATCAATGGACAAAGCTCTCACCTCAGCAGGTCTAGATCCAAAGGTTGGAGGGGCACAAGCAGAAGCAAAAGACAAGAAGAAGAAAGAAGAGAAGACAAAGAAAGAGAAGGAAAAGAAGCCAGAGCAAGACACAAAGGTCAAGAAAGAGGACAAGCCCAAGGCATCAAAGAAGGTTGATGAAGACAAGAATGTTGATGCAGCATTTGCCCAGAAAGGGAAAGGGAAAGGAAAAGATGGCAAAGGCAAGAACAAGGAGGACAAGCCACCGCTGACCAAGGAGCAGAAAGCAAAACTGCCATGCATGTACTTCGCATACGATTCATGCACTCGCGGGAAGGATTGTGAATTCCTCCATGACAAAGGGAACTTGTACAAAGGCCCGAAACCTCGTTTGAAGTCTGGTACTGGTGCTAGTTCTTCAAGTCATGCCGGAGCCGCTTCCGTAGCTGCTGCAACTGCATTCGCATCAATCCCGTCAGCCGAAGCCGCTTTGAAAGAAGCAAAGAAGGTTTGCAGAAAGGTCACTCGAAGCTCTTTGAGAGTCCCTTGTGTCCAGTTGTTGGCCAAAGCCGTGACTACGATCATGACCGCCATCACACGCTGCAATCCGATGTCCCAGATTGATCATTCAAGTGTCCCTGCATTGGCGTCACATCCATGTCAGATGGAATTCCTCATGGATTCAGGTGCAGGAAGGAATCTGTTGTCGAAAGACTCGATGCCCGATGATTGGAGGGGATTCATCATCGACCCGCCGGAAAACCTGATCTTTAGAACGGGAGGTGGGGAGAGGAAAACCACAAAAGCCATCGAACTCCAAGGGCAAGTGAGCGGCCTCAACACTTTCTACACTTTGGATTCATGTCCCCACGCATTGTC